CTATCTAGGGAACTCACTAAGATTTGTGCTTACAGTTTGCGGTTTATGGTTTCAGGTACTTCCGGTTCGAAAGGGAAGGTCCCGGCTTGATCGCAGTGCATACACCCGTGTTTTCCGCAACCCGTGATTTTGGGAATAAACTCTGATAATTGTTTGTATTTTTGAAATGCTTCTAAATGTTTGAATAAAGGATAAATGAGTATTTTGGTTATATTAAAAATAAAATTTTTACCCTAGTTTTTGGGATGTTACAGATTTCTATCTCTCATGTTCCTATTTTGTGTGATTTTCCAGATGTTTTCCTGGAGGAGTTGTCGGGTGTGCCTCCCAAGAGGCAGGTGGAGTTCCGGATCGACCTGATCCCTGGTGCGGTGCCGATCGCCAAGGCGCCATATCGCCTTGCACCACCCGAGATGCAGGAGTTATCATCTCAGCTTCATGAGATGTTAGGAAAGGAGTTTATTTGGTCGAGCAGTTCGCCATAGGGAGCACCGATCCTTTTTGTCAAGAAGAAGGGTTGTTCATACCAGATGTGTATTGACTATCGGGAGTTGAACAACCTGACGGTGAAGAATCGTTATCCGTTAACGAGGATTGATGATCTCTTTGATCAGCTGCAGGGGGCATCTTGGTTCTCCAAGATTGATCTGAGGTTTGGTTACCATCAGATGAGGGTGCAAGAGGAGGTTATTCAGAAGATGACCTTATGAACTTGTTATGTGCATTACGAGTTCGTGGTGATGCCTTTTGGGATCACCAATGCACCGGAAACGTTCATGGATCTCATGAACCGGGTGTGTAGACCTATGTTGGACCGCTCAACGATTGTCTTCATCGATGATATTTTAGTCTATTCGAAAACCAGGGAACAACATGAGGAGCACCTACATAAGATACTTGGGGTTCTACGGACGGAGAGGCTGTACGCCAAGTTCTCCAAGTGTGAGTTCTGGTTGCATGAGGTTTAGTTTCTGGGAGACCTCGTCAATATGAATAGTATCTTGGTTGACCCAACCAAAATTGAGGCGATATGCAGTGGGAGGTTCCGAAGTCTCCATCCGATATTCGAAGTTTCCTCGGTTTGGCAGGATATTATTGGAGATTCATTCGAGACTTCTCAAAGAGTATGGTTCCTCTTACCAAGTTGACGGGGAAGGATGTTTGTGTTTAGCTAGGGGCTGAGCAACATGCATCGTTTGAGACTTTTCGGCAGAGACTTTGTGAGGCGCCAGTACTTTCCCTCCCTGAGGGAGTTGAGGATTTTGTGGTCTATTGTGATGCATCCATCTCGGGAATGGGTTCTATTTTGATGCAAATAGGGTATGTGATTGCATACTATTCAAGGCAGCTGAAGCCTCATAAGGCGAAGTATGCCACTCATGATCTCGAGTAGGGGCAGTGGTTTTCGCCCTTAAGATTTGGCGCTATTATCTTTACGAAGTTCGGTGTGCTATCTACACAGACCATAAGAGTCTACGATATATTATGGATCAACCTAATTTGAACATGAGACAGAGGAGGTGGCTCGATGTAGTAAAAGACTATGAATACGAGATTCTGTATCACCCGAGCAAGGCCAATGTGGTGGCCGACGCTTTGAGCCGGAGGACAGTCGGTACCTTGATTTGGGATGTGTGTTTGAGGATTACCATAATGACTCCAGTCTTGGAGATGATCAAGGATGCGTAGTCGGAGACTATTAAGGAGGATAATCGGAAGAGTGAGCAGGTGGTTGGTCAGGTTTCAGCCTTTGATATTGATAGCAGGGACTTATTGACACTTCATGGTCAGATTTGGGTGCCCTATGCGGGTGGGTCACGACAAGTGTTGATGGATGAGGCCCACAAGTTGAGATTTCCATTCATTCGGGGGGCCACAAAGATATATCATGACCTGAGACATGGCTATTGGTGGCCGTGTATGAAGAGGGACGTGGTGTGGTTTGTGGAGAGGTGCTTGACCTGCCCGAAGGTCAAGGCCAAAAATGAGCGCCCTCATGGCAAGTTGCAGCCCTTGGAGGTCCCACTGTGGAAATGGGAGCAGATTACGATGGATTTCATTATGAAGTTGTCCAAGGTTGTGAAGGGTTTTGATGCTATCTGGGTGATAGTTGATCGTTTAACAAAGAATGCTCACTTTCTATCCATATGTGAGAGAGCTCTTCTGCCGAGAAATTGGCCAAGATTTATATCCGAGAGGTGATCTTCATGGGGTTCCGAATTCCATTGTGTTAGACCGGGATGTTCGTTTCACTTCCATATTTTGGAAGAGGTTTCCTGAGAAGTTCGGTACCCGATTGCATTTTAGTACCGCTTACCGTCTGCAGACAGACAGGCAGAGCGGAAGACTATTCAAATGCTCGAGGAATGTTGAGAGAATGCATCATTGATTTCGGTGGGAGTTGGGACTCCTACCTTCCTTTGGTTGAGTTTTCTTATGACAACAACCATAATGCTAGTATTGACATGCCTCCCTTCAAGCTCCTGTATGGGAAGAAGTTTCAGACTCCTATCTGTTGGGGAGAGGTTGGAGAGAGAGTCATGGGGAGCATTGAGATAGTGCTTAAGATGACAGAGCTTATCCAACAGGTAGATCTTTTCTAAGATTAAGTTTATGTTTATTTTGTCCCAAAACCTTGGTATTTGTGAGTATAGACTACTCCAGACCATTTGAGTTGTCCTTTCAGACGTTTTAGAGTGCACGGTGTTATAAAAATGCAAGCTCGGTCCTTTCCTTTCATCCATGCATGAGTTATGGAGTTGTTGGTGATGTTAGAAGTTAGGGTATTGGGATTTAGCTCTCTTTAGCCATGCAAAAGTATAAATTTAGAGACTTTATGGATTAGAATGTCTTTTAGGGTCAGATCTGAGGTTGAGGTAAAGCGTCTTAATGATTAAGAGCTTAAAAGATAGGATTTGAGTTTAGGCCCAGCACGTTGACTGTAAATTTGGCTACGCCCAATGTAGTTAACTGGGAGCCCGTCTTTCTGATGTTGTGCTCTACGCCCAACGTAGAGTCGAGTACGTTGTGCGTAAGGTCAAAGTGTTGATCTTTGACTTTCTTTGACTTTTTGACCAAGTGTGCCTTTTTGGTCAAGTTGTAAGGGTTTTGGTCTTTAAAGGGGTAAAATGGTCTTTTGCCCAAATTGTGGATTAGACTTGGCTTGGGACTAGTTGAGTATGAAAAAGTACCTTAATTGTTGATTAGGGGTATTTGGTGTAATTAATAGGCGAAGTCTAGTTTCGGCAGTTCGGGTGTGAGTTCTATCAGTCATCTATACGAGGTGAGTCTCCTCACTATTGTTACCTATGTGGTAGAATAGGTGTTGACCAGCTGGGTATATTTGTTGTTACTGTTATATGTGTTACTGTGTGTGTTGAGAATTCTGATAGTCTCCAGGATTGCTGATAATCCACAGGGCGTGTTGTTTGCCCACTGAGACTTCGGGTCGTCTCCAAGGTTGCTGATAACCCATAAATGTTTATTTGTGTTGTGTTGTGTGATACTTTGGGGAACTCACTAATCTTCGTGCTTACATTTATTGATTAAATGTGTTTCAGGTACTTCTGATGATCGCGGGAAGGAAAAGGTTTGATTGTACACATTCGCCTGCAGTTTCTGATTCCGAATATTTTGGAACACTCTGATATTTTTATGATGATTGTATATGATACTTGAGATTTTCTTGAGATGAGTTTTTATAAACAATGTTTTTAGTTAATTAAAAATGAAAAAATGGGCTTAAAATTTTGGATGTTACTTTTAAGCTTAAGATGTGATCGATCTCTCTTTTCTGCCAGCCGCCGAAAAATCCTTTTCCTTACCAGAAAACCCACTGGACCACCATGATGATTCAACCTCAAGATCCAGAACTGGCGGAGGAGCGGTGGTGGTGATTTAACCTCAAGATTTAGATCTACCCAATCTCTCTTTCCTGCCTAACCACCACCCTGAAACAATATCTTGTTCGAGATCTTTTTTTTTTTTTCCATTTCTCTTGGGATTGTCTTCACCAGAAAGAGACATCTATCTTTTTATTTCCATTTCTCTTGGGATTCTCTTGGGATTGTTCGAGCTCTCTCTTTTTTTCCATTTTTTTCCCAGTGGTCTCTCTTCTCCGCCATCTCTCTTTCATGTTGCTACTCTGTACTTCGACTCTATCGCCAGAAAGAGACATCAGTGCAGCCATCGAACACCATCAATTGTCACTGGAGGATGAGACAATCAAACATTCTCTTCACGATCTCCAGATCTTCTTTTTTTCCCTCTATTTTTCTTCTTTTTTTCTCATTTCTTCCCTTTTCATATATGCTTGTGGGTGTTGTGGTGGATTTTATTTCAGATTCTCAAGTTGGTGTGGTGGAGAATTTAATTTGAGATTTGCTTGAGGGGTTTTCCGGATATGACTTCAAGTTCTTAGTGGTGGATAGTGGTGGTTAGTGATGACTGTTGGTGTTAGTGGTGGTTTCCGATGACTGTTGGTGGTAATGGTGATTTCTGGTGACTGGTGGTAGTGGTTGTTTTCGTTGATTGGAGGTGGTAGTGGTGAGATGTCTTATAAATTACTTAATTAATTTTCTTTACTTAATAACTAATCTAATTAGAAAACTGAAAAAAGAAAATATAAGGGTAAAATAGTCTTTTTATGTCTACGAAGGGCGAAAAACGCAACAAAATCAAACTACCGGGACGATCCGAGTGCAAAAAAAGTCAGGGACCAAACTTGCAATTTTAACCAAACCATAAGGAGTAATTTACTCAAAAAATTACAGATATTTTAAAAATTTAGACAAAACTACAAAAATGGTCCCTGTGATATGCATTTTTTTCTGAGGTTTAGTCCAAACCTCGACTTTTTTGGCTTCATGGTCTTTTTGAGGTAGTTTGTTTTGGTTTTGGTCCATCGGTAAACTGAAATGACTGTAATGCCCTTATGATATTTTTTTTTTTATGTTTTTTCTATTTAATTTAAATGAAAAAAAGAATAGATAATTAATTTGGTTCCACGATCTCTCTCTCACACATACACACATACACAACTACCTGGAGGAACACATTTGAAGACACATAAATTCTTTTGGGGTACATGATAAACACATGTAACATACATGATGAACACGATGAACATAGATTAATTTCTTCTGAAAATCGATTGAAAATTCATGTTTTGAAGACACAAAAAATCATCTCTGTAAACACATACACACACGACACACGAAGATCTTTGATTTCTTGAACAGATTTCTGGAAACACACACACCTGTGGGTTCATAGATGAACACGACAATCTGGGTTCATAGATGAACACGGTGAACACAAACCTGTAAATCGATTTATGGGTTTTGTTAGGGCCGACAAAAGGTTGATTTCGAGAGCTTCTCCACAAATGAACGAGGTGAACAAACACACACACACCAGATTTCACCAAAAATTAGTCAAATTGCAGCAACTGAATCGAATGGAGACTCTAGATGTAACTTCGCAGGGGTGTTCTTCGGTGACAGAGATAAGGTTTTGAGCGGTGGACCTTTGTTGATTCGCCATTGAAAGATCTGTTCGAGTTCGAGTTATGATGATGATAATGGCGGTCCTCTTGAAAAACAGAAATTGATTTCGAAATGTTTTAGTCTGTAATAATCAATGAAGAAAACTCTGTTTTCTGATGATTTTCCTATTGTTGTGTTCTAACCAAAAACCCATTTCCACCACCATTTTTATAGTGTTTGGACACAAAATACGGAGATTTGACAAACCCGTGAAGATGATGATGAACAGGTGAGTCTGAACCATTAATCAACCATTTCTCTTTGATTTGGGGCTAAGAGAGAGAGGTGGTCCTTTCTTGTTTTTTAATTAATAAAATATATAAATAAGTATTAAAAATGTAAAATTAAAAGTAAAAGGATATTAACCTAAACCACAAAAGACATACAAGTCAGAAGACCTCAATCCAAGGTTTGTCACTACCATAATCCTGGATTGTCAGATTATACATAAATAGCAGGCCATCAATGGTACTAAAATTCGTTGATCAAATGGGAATATGCTCGGATTCTAAGGAAACATAAACACAGAAGTCCAAGTCCAAAGGATTTAAAAATTCACTACAATCCCAGCAGTGCATTGAGCCAGTGAGATTTGAGTTTCTAGGGTTCTCCGCCACCCCTGTATCATCCGAATTTGTGTGAAACAATCCAAGATACGGAAGAACATTTTCCAGTTGTCGTCATCAAGTGCATTGCTAACATCGATTTTTGGGCGGCAGTATCTTTACGCTAATTCGTTCGAATATGCTTAGCACCAGAAAATATACCGGGAATGTTCTGTTTCAGGTTTACAATGGTTTTTGCCCTTTTGTACAGATATATGAGTTTTATTTGGGGGAAATTTGGTTTTCCTCTCCCAAGAATACGACTGGGCGAAGAGATTTGAATTATAAGACCTATTTATATGTTCCCTTGGGGGGTTGTTTTTTGAAACGATTGTTGCTGTGAGAATGGGAGACAATATCTCTTTGATGACGGGTCGTGTGCTTTTGGCTTTTGATGCCACAAAAGATCGAAATGAGCTGGAGTTTAAGAATGTTATAGATGACATTATATCCCGAGGTGACGTGATTAACAGGGGAGATACCATTGTGGTGTTTGGTGTTCTGCATAAGGTCTCCCATCCCTGTAAGTGTTTGTTATAATGCCTCTGACCGACATCAAAGTTGCAATAATATTCAGCAAATATTTAGATCTGGATAGATAATGAGGTGGTAGCTACTGTAGTGTAAGAAACCTTGTTATTCAACTATCTTTGATTTTTTTTTTTTTTTTTACCATGGGTCTTCTAGTTGCAATCATCATCTTGAAATCACTCTCCAAAACTCATTTATTTAACAAACCACCCATCCCACGGATAAGTGTTTAAGAGGGTGTTTGGGAGTGCTTTTTTAACTAGAAAAGTGCTTTTAGATAAAAGTGCTTATTTGCTTATAGTGACGGTAAAAAGAGTTTTTTAAAAAGTGTTTGGATAAACTTTTATAGTGAAAAAGCCAATAAGTCAATAAGTTAAAAAGTGTTTGACTTAAAAAATGTTTTTTGAAGTTATTTTGGCTGAAAAGCAATAAACAGTTTCAAAAAGCCACGTTTTACATGCTTATTAAAAAGTGCTTATTGAAGCTTATGAAAAAGCTATTTTGAAAAGTGCTTTTGAGTTTGCCAAACACTTTTTTTTGGCTTATTAGCTTTTCAAAAAGCCAATAAGCAAATAAGCACTTTTCAAACACAATCCCAAACATCCCTAAGTAGGAGTAAACTCGTGGACAAAAAACAATAATTTTGATGACGCTATAAGCCTTAATGTGTGGGCTAACAATAACTTCCATTGTGGTTTTAAGTTGATCCGTAGGTTATTGAGTCCATTACTTTGAGCTTAGCCCCTCTCGAATCCTACACTGATAAGACCTCATAGTCATAGGCCTTAAGTTGTAGTGGGTCTATGACTTTGGCTTGAGGTGTTACATTTTACACAGCACAGTAGTGTTTACAATTTATATATATATATATATATATATATATATATATATATATATATATATATATATATATATATATATATATACCTTCTTTATGTCTTGTACATGAGATGACTTTTTCCTTCTTTATGTCTTTTCTTTGATTCTACCGAGAAAAAGAAATGAGTTTAATGGAAAATGGCAGTTCTCTGCTTTCTCTATTAAAATGGGAATTTTATTTTTCTTCTCTCTTTGAAGATTAGTACAAAATAAATAAATTAAAGTTTAATCGGTTGGAATCTGAACATGTTGTCATGTTCCTCTAGCGCACAGCTTTGTATGTTAGATTTGGTAGTGTGGGTATAGGGCAAGTGAAATTGGAGCTTTGGGACACTAGTTGTTTTTGTGTGGATAAGAATTCGACATATAGCCCGCCCTCTTTCTTCTTTTTCTCATTAAGTGCTGTGCTGTGTGTTTAAAAAAAATATATACATATTTGATGTGGAATGGAAGGGAAAAAATATATTACGACTTAATCCTTGACTTTCTCTGTTCTTTTATACATTAAGTAAAAAGAGAAACACCCATATATAAATATAATATACTCATTAAGCCTAGTAAGCCAAAGAACAAGCACCATAGTGCTATTTACCATCAACTTAAAAATCCCACTTTTATCGGTTTAGGTTTTGCTAGAAAAGGAGAATTCCTGGTGGTGGTGGTGCAGAAATAGTAGTTCTGGAGTGCAACACTACACTGATTTTACCTAATTAGTAGACAAGACACAAATGGAATAGTTTCTGGATGCTTTTTTGTTTTATGTATCCAAAAGTTCCAAGTTTTTTGAAATGTTCAACAAACAAAACTTAGACACTGACATTATTATTTATTTTCGTCAATCCTCAATAGGTTACGTAACACTACAACTGATGGACATATTCATCTTAGTCACCTCAAAATAATATATGTTGTGCATTGCTAAACTATTCATGTTTCTTGCTCAGTTGGTTACCAAATGCAGATAGAAAGAGTGAACATCAGAGCCATGGAAGAAGAAATTCAATTAAAACTTGATATGTATGCAAAAATGCTACAAACAAGTGCCCAAGATTGCAAAGAAGAAGGGGTAATGATGAATGTTGTTTATTATCTTTATCTGAGATACTATTAGTATTATATCTTGAAGCATTTAATGAAAAGTTGGTGTTTTCTTACTATGAATATGAATATGATCAAACGCAATGACAATGTTGTGTCTCTTGCATAAGGACACTAACTTGTTCTCTAGTTCAAAGTGCTTAACACATCACATCTCACATGATGCTGTTGGGAATTGGGATTGGGGGAATAATATCATTAGACTCATTTAAGTAGTAACTTTAGTTTTATCTGTCTTCAGTTGATGAAATAATGACTTGTCCATGTGATTTAGGTTGACATAGAAGTGAAGATTACTTGTGGAACTCCTATTAAGAAGATTATTCAACAGGAGGCTTCAGCTTGTAATGCAACATGGGTTGTCCTTGATAGGTTGGCTTTAAATTGAATTCATGTGCTAGATATATAATAGATATGATGAAACAGGAAAATTCAAAACCAAATGGGACGGGAGCTACTTTACTTTTGAAGTTTGATTTTTGATGATGATTGATGAGGGCATTCACAGACGAGAGATGCTGTTCCACCTCCACCTTTTTGGGTGGGAGTGGGACAAAAGATTTCAAATTTGTCTATCACATCCTCATCCTCTTCTGTTATGTTTTGTCTCCACTCTTGACTCTTGTCCTGTCAACAAGGTTGCATTTGACATTCTTTGAAGATGATAATATGATAAGCCCCAACTTTATAAGGTTATAGCCAAGGGGTATTTTAGTACTTTTGAATTTAATGCAGGATTTTATGTTAGTGGTAGTACCATGTTAGTGGAGATAGTTTTTGTGGTCAGGTGTGCTGTAATTCCTTTGTCTCATCTTAGTCCTAGTAGTATATATATCTAGTTAGACTGGAAGAGAAAAGTAGCTAAGAATTAATTTGTAAGAGAACATTGTTCTTCTTCTTTGGAGAGACTCTCACCTCTAGAATTGTGATAAAACTATCTTTATGAATATTATCAAGTAATCTGTTAGTGTGAGTGTTAGAATGCCTGGGGTATACGATAGATTCAACAAAGGTCTATCAAATGGTATTAGTTGATGCTGGGATGAGGCAGTGAGAAAGGTGCAAGATGAACAACAACAATCTCTGTGGATTTAACAACAAGAAAAGGCATGGGAAGAGATGGGGATCATCCATATAGAAATGCTAGAGATGGTGAAGAAAATAGAGATGCATCGTCAGAACCAGATAAAGAGAGAGGCTAAGAAGGCTAAATGGAGAGAGTATTACTGCTCAGAGGAAGGAATGGAGGCTGAGAAGGCTAAGTGGAGGAAGATTTATTACTCAAACTTGAAGGAGAAGGAGAAAGTAGTCCATGAGGATGAAGAGGAAGTATCACTGGTAATTTCTGAGTCGCAACTTCCACCACCACAACAACTAACGGCCATCGTCTTCACTACTGCTGTCTACACCAGCTTCCGGGTATGAGAACAGAAAAAAGGGTGAGATGATGACACTAGGAAGAGATGTAATCAGAACTTCCATGGTTGATGGGCATGAAGGAATAGCCAAGTCTGAGAAGGCTAAATGGAGAGAGTATTACTGCTCAGAGGAAGGAATGGAGGCTGAGAAGGCTAAGTGGAGGAAGATTTATTACTCAAACTTGAAGGAGAAGGAGAAAGTAGTCCATGAGGATGAAGAGGAAGTATCACTGGTAATTTCTGAGTCGCAACTTCCACTACCACAACAACTAACGGCCATCGTCTTCACTACTGCTGTCTACACCAGCTTCCGGGTATGAGAACAGAAAAAAGGGTGAGATGATGACACTAGGAAGAGATGTAATCAGAACTTCCATGGTTGATGGGCATGAAGGAATAGCCAAGTCTGAGAAGGCTAAATGGAGAGAGTATTACTGCTTAGAGGAAGGAATGAAGGCTGAGAAGGCTAAGTGGAGGAAGATTTATTACTCAAACTTGAAGGAGAAGGAGAAAGTAGTCCATGAGGATGAAGAGGAAGTATCACTGGTAATTTCTGAGTCGCAACTTCCACCACCACAACAACTAACGACCATCGTCTTCACTACTGCTGTCTACACCAGCTTCCGGGTATGAGAACAGAAAAAAGGGCGAGATGATGACACTAGGAAGAGATGTAATCAGAACTTCCATGGTTGATGGGCATGAAGGAATAGCCAAGTCTAATGTTGAAGAAGAAATATCTTTGGAAGCTGTTGAGCCGGAATCGGAACCCAAAACGACACTTCCATCATCTCTGCTGCCGGCTCCTTCTCACCCGCCGTCGCCATCTCCACCACCTTCACCGCCAATGTCTCCACCACCTCTTCTAGAGTTCAAAAAGAGAAACGAGGGCACACTTCTAGACATTGGAGGCTCAAACCATTTTGTTAAAAAGCTTGAAATTCCCTTGATGGATAGCTATAAACCACCGCCGTCGTTGCCATCTCCAACACCGTTTCCACCGTATCTAGGATTCGAGAATAGGATCGACGAAAAACACTCAAAGTTGGGTGACTGAAAGCAGAAAATGAATGGCAGCAACACCGTTGGATGGATAACTGAGGCTGGAAGCTTGTCAATGGAAGAAGCTATATACGATCATTCAACAATCTCCCAAGTCGGAATGAAGACGACGCAGATGACGGCTCTGTTAAAACTGGTAACGGTAAAGTTAATTTTAGGTCATGGAAAATATGGGCTTAAGAAAAAGAATAAGGCTGAAATTAAATAATTGGGCCCACACAATCTAGACCAGACCATGGACTGTGAAATTAAAATAAAGAAAGATATAAGTCCAAGTCTAGAAAAAGGGACGACTAAATACCTTTTTCCCACAGCAACTACGTTGACTAACGCAAACTTGGATTTCCCTCCCACCCGACCCATCTACATATCTTCCCTCGACTTCTTTAGTTCTGTTGAACCTACCACCGGTGACGGTAGTGATTTGGAAGTCCCGGAGGTCACAAAAGAAGGTTTATCAGGGACTCCCCAAATTGATACACCTTTCGACTCTAGTACGCCAAAGTCTGGTTCTTTCGTTCAGATTTCCACTTCACAAACAGGAAAGAATGAAGGCAACTCTGACCAAATCCTAAAAAAATCTCAACCCAATTTGCTGTTATTTCTGTTCCAGTACCATCAGATCACACAAGCTGAGGAAACTATGCAGTTCTCTCTTGAAGATTGTTCAAACCCTAAATTGGATTCACATACTCATCATCAGTCAGGGCTTACGAATTACAATTCTGTTTCATTCAAGAAAGACAAGTTTACTAAAGTATGTTTCCACAATGCAAGCTTTGGGGTAGATACAAACCATGTGGCGGATCCCACTGTGTACTTGGTCAAAGATCACATAAAAGAAATCAGCATATCAGTTTCATTAATGACAGGCCAAAGGAAGAAACCCTTGTAGTCATGACTATGTTTTCTTCTTTGAAGTTTGGTGACTTTGGGAATACTATGTTTACTGGGAAGAACGAGACCACAACGCACCTCGTGAGCCATCATTATCACATTAGAGAGTCGGCTTATGATCATTCTTTTTGATATATGCACCGTTGGTTGTTGTTTTCTTGAACTTTATATTGGGAAGGTTCTGTTTCCTGGAGCTACTACAAATAATGTCATGCTTCATCTTAACATGGAACTCAAACTATTAGCAGCAGCGGGATTTATCGTGTGTCATGCTTCTGAACCCATTCCTGATGACAAATGGGAAAGGGCACAAATGCAAGATTTTGCAGATCAAAGGAAGAAAATTGGGGAAGTCCTAGTGTCCTACACAAATTTAAGTGCGATGTTGGGGTAGTGAAGAAACTACGGGAGGTGCCTGGTTCTAAGTATTTATCCCGGTTTGTGATTATTGATGAGAATGGGGAGGTTGTGGGTACCATTGTTGATGTTACTTATCCTACGAAAATGGTGGCATATTATATGGAGCCTGTGTCATCTGTGGCGAAGACTTATCTCACATCAGATACAGTGAAGCAAGGAGGTGGTATATATGTGGTGATTGTTGTGGTGACTTTTAGATTGTGGCAAGACTGAGAACAAGATAAAGAGATCTTCCGGAAGAATTTGGGTGTTGTGCATCGTTTTTCATTCACCTTGAGGACAAGGTGAAAGTTTGGGCCGCCGGTATTGATAAGCCCCAACTTTACAAGGTTATAGCCAAAGGGTATTTTAGTACTTCTGAATTTAGTGCATGATTTTATGTTAGTGGTAGTACCATGTTAAGGGGACAGTTTTTGTGATCAGGTGTGTTTTAATTCCTTTGTCTCATCTTAGTCCTAGTAGTATATATATCTAGTTAGAAGGAAGAGAAAAGTAGTTAAGAATTAATTTGTAAGAGAACATTGTTCTTCTTTGGAGAGACTCTCACCTTTAGAATTGTGAGAAAACTATCTTTATGAATATTATCAAGTATTTCTGTTAGTGTGAGTGTTAGAATGCCTGGGGTATACAATAGATTCAACAAGGGTCTATCATAATACTTTTCGCCACAAAAGAGTAGACAAGTTGGAAAAACAGACGTTCTTCCAAACTCATAATGCTATTGCTATTTAAAATTCAAATAAATAACTATTTCCCCAATGCAATGGTAGTAGAAATTTGACCTTATATGTAATTTACTACTGATATCATCTTAGATTTTTGTGGGGACACTTAATACTTAATAGTGAATAACAATAGCCTTAATGTTTTTATTTGTATACTCCATAATAAATGGATTTCAGTGTCTACTCTTTACTTAATTTTGTGCATATTGTCATCAATTTTAGCTTATGATTTACAATTACAGGCACCTGAAAAAGGATGTGAAGTTTTACCAAGGTCAAATCCTTTGCAAGCTTGCATCAGTTGTAGATAACTTAACCATAAAGCCTTTAAAAACCGAGCCCATGAGTGATACCGATAACACAGAAGTCAAAGTGGTTCTTTACAGGTCAAAGCATGTGCAGTTGTCGGCTCCAGCTCCACAGGATCACGATAATGTTGACCAGTCAGTTATTTCTCATAGTTACTCTGCATCATTCGCTTCCTATGAAAACCTTGAAATGCCTTCAAAGAAACTTCTGTCTTCATTAATGCACAAGCCGTTGGGTCAAACTTCCATATTAACTGATGATGTAGATGCTGCATCAAAGCAAGATGTATCAGGTCAGGAAGTTTACATTACTCTTTTTTTGTATATACAATCATACTTGTGGTCCCCGCATGCTTGCCCTTGCAGCAAGGAAGACAAGAATCTATAACAGACGTCTCAGATTCAAACTTGGCATCATCTATTCTTCCTTGCTGTGGGCATATTTACCATGTTAGCCGCTTACGGCTTGCATATATATAAATAATGGGTCTGCTCCAAACAGTCCAATCTCCTAACCACATAAGCATACATAACAAACATACATGAAGCAACGGGTCTGCTCCAACCTCGGGTGAATGCTATGGGCTAATTCATAGTGTTACATCTTGCCATGGGCTACCCCCATGGTCTTACGGGCAAGTGCCATGGGCTACCCCCATGGTATTTCCCTGCAATGTCATGGGCTATCCCTATGGTCTTACGAACACGTGTCATGGGCTACCCCCATGATCTTACGAACAAGTGTCATGGACTACCCTCATAGTCTTTCCCTGCAATGTCATGGGCTACCCCCATGGTCTTACAAACAAGTGTCGTGGGCTACCCTCATAGTCTTTCCCTGCAATGCCATGGGCTACCCTTATGGTCTTACGAACAAGTGTCATGGGCTACCCTCATAGTCTTTCCCTGCAATGCCATGGGCTACCCCCATGGTCTTACGAACAAGTGCCATGGGTTACCCCCATGGTCTTTCTCTGCAATGTACAAAGTCATATGTAGTTAGGGATCGGATAGACAGTCGAACAGATGATCCATCCGAGAGCGAATAATCAGACAAGAGCATTACAATCAGGCATTAGACAAAGAGTTCTCAGGCTATCCAACTTAGACTACATAGAACCCAGGTTATCTTTACCACATAACCATACAACATACATTCATATCATAACCTAACATGGTACATTCCCTTGGCAACTAGCCTTCCCTAGTACCTTACCATTGGCCACTTCTCAATTAAGTTCTTTGCTGATTAGTCATACATAATCCTGATAACTAGTTTACCCCAATTACTTTATCCAAACATAACTCCTATTAGTACCATACGATGAACTGACAAGACCCTACCAGTCTGGCATACCAAGACACCAGTTGTCCTATACTGCACATTCATACAAAGGAATGATCCTAGCCAACTAGCATACTTGTACTCTAACAGTGCTTCTATCCTACCATGCAAAGGACATACAATGGGATACATGACATAGTGAGAAAGTCACCTGAATTGCAGAACCGGAGAAGCACAACAACACCTTAACTCCTTGTACTGATCAAGATCTTGAACCGACTAGCACTAAGACAGACAAATCCTCAATTAGCAACCAAATCCTCCAAGTTTGACCCCAAGTCAAACTGGTCAAAAGTCAACGGTCAACCCAATCAAAGTCAACACCACGTTATGACCATTCTTTGGTCATTTCGTGGGAGAGTAAGGACCAAAACAGTTGCGACTCCAGGTATTGTCACGTCGTGGCAAACCCTATGCCACGTTTTGACATCTGGCAGAAGGCCAAAATCCTCATTAAGTGCTTAATTCCTTCATACCAAGGCCCATAACTTAAAATCTAGTTCTTTTTACTGACTTAATGGATAAAGTTTTAAACTTTATCCATTAGGACTCTATCCCAAAGCTAGATCTACAACCCTAATTCCTTAATAGCATAAAACTCATTTATTTCATGCAATGGTCTAACCTTAAACATTACACTAATTATTCAAATACAAAACACACACACACACACATATATATATATATATATATATATATATATATATATATATATATATATATATTACACTAGGATATTGTGTTACATCTGTGCCAACACCCCTCTATTTCCCTGAACCTCATAAATAGTGAATGTTTTAATCGGTTCAGCCGCAAGGGATTTGTTGTCCACTTTTGTCCGTCCAAACATAATATGAGAATTGAGCAATTCAGGAGATGATTGCTTTCATAAATAAATTGAGTATTGTGGGATGAGATTTTACATAGCAGAATGCCAGAATGTTTGGCTATTTCACATGACAATTGGTTTTTTTTTAGTAGAAAGTAGAGTTCCATTCACACACCATTAAGTTTCAGATCCTTACCAAGGAAGATGGTTTGAAGAGAATTATAGGAACATATGATATGCCACCATAGAATGACATTTTATAGAAATTGTTTGAACTTGGCCAGTAGGAATTCGTTACCCTCCCATTGTGAGTGAACCTCCATGCTTTCAATCTGGTCATGCAGTAACTACAAAATGAATATCAATATACACATACTAATACATTTTTGGTAAAATGAAAATATAAAAACTCTAGGACATCTTGAATCACATCACTGCCAGCAAACTATCTTCATGGATAAATTAATGCCCCCCCCCCCCCCCCCCCCCCCCCCGCCCCGGATACGGATAGGACAAGTTGTACTCGGCATTAGACACGGACCATGACCCAAAAAGGATGGATAGGGATTCGCTCTCGATATCTTTTCAGTGCAAAAGACGCAAATACCCCTTCATCCCAATCATCAAGAATCCCTTAAAAAGCTTGTCCAGTCTTTTCCCCTAAAGAATGTAACGTGATATCTCTTATTGGCATTATTTTTTTATATTTCTTATTTCGGCTCATGGTTTACTTGTAATGGTTGTTGGCAAGGCAATTTACTGTTAAACGGTTCCTTCTTAAGCAGGCAGCCTCTCTTGTGGTGGTAAGAATCGTACCAATTCTTCATGGGTCGTTGGAAATTTACGAAAAAGTCCTCGGCGAAAGAGATCCTCTGGTACACCTGTTCTGTGCAATGCTTGTGGGATGACAACAGAATTGTATATCAAGGAGTCGATGAGATTGAGTTACTCAGAAATACATCTTGCGACAAATTATTTTTCAGAGGAAAACTTGTTAGGTGAAGGAGGTTATGGTCTAGTTTACAAGGGTCAGCTCAATGATGGGCAAATCATTGCTGCTAAGGTGCGGAAACAAGCAAGCACACAAGGATTTGAAGAATTCTCTTCTGAAATTTATGTTTTGAGTTTTGCACGCCATAGAAACATCGTCATGCTGTTGGGTTATTGCTGCAAAGAAAACATTAACATATTGGTTTATGAATATATCTGCAATAGATCACTAGAGTGGCATCTCTTTGGTAAGCAACTAACTCATTGGCTTATTTTTCATACATGAATCATATTTTACCAAAAACGTTTCCCTTTAGCATATTTCTTTGGGCTAATGCCAGAAATAGCAACGCACTTTCATTGTTCTGTTTGTTATAGCATCCTACTTTAAAATCTATCCGGTTATAACAATGTCAGTCATCACAATACATAAAATGTTTGAAATATGATGTCCTAATGAGAAAAGATTGAAAGTACAATGATGTAGTTAGGTAGATTTATCATTTATCAAAAAGAATGCCTTTATAAGAAAAATGTTGTAATAGAAAGTAGGATGCTATAATATACAAATAAATGTCGTAAGGACGCGAAAATCCATAAAAGAGGTCTCAGATTTATGCCTTGCTTTTATGTTGGTTGGTAGATTTTTTCAAATTGAGTGTAAAAAGCTATTGGTAGATTTCAAAATACAAAACCTTGATAAGAAAAACGTTTGAAAGTAGAATGATGGTGTACACAGAAAAAATATCGTGCGCTGCTATTTCTTTCATTTAGTCCTATCCTATCCCCTTGTGTAATTGAATTCTATGTTTTTTTTTTTTTTTTTTTGTTGGGGTAATGTATTTGAAAGATGAAGCAGCAAATGTCCTTGAATGGCGTAAAAGACATGCAATAGCTATAGGAACTGCAAAAGGATTGAGATTTCTTCATGAAGAGTGTCGCAGTAGTCCTATCATTCATCGGGATCTTCGACCAAGCAATATATTGCTGACCCACGACTTTGTGCCAATGGTAATGATGTAATTTCACCTTGATGACATTCTTGATGTTTTATTTTATTATATTGCTTTGCGGATGAAAATAGAAAAGAAATAAACATTCCCACCACAAAGCGATAAAGGATGGTGAAAGTTTAGGGACGGAACTGGATAAAGTTGTTTTCAATGATGTGATGGGGAATGGGGAAGGCAGGGCACAAGTGTGTTTGCACCTTTCGAGTTAGAAAAATAAAATAATTGTAACAACTACTTCTGCTGTGTTGTATTACGTAATAAGTCTAAGACTTTAGATAGCAAGCAGCTCATCACTGAAAGGCTAGCCCTCTCCTATTTATAATTAATTACATGATTGCAGGATATATCTATATAGTTGGCACTGGACCAATTACGAAACGAATAGGATAATAAGGAAATAAGAAGAAGAATTCTGAAAGACTAGAGCTTATTTAGTATTATTGTAAGTTTTAACATCTGATTCATAAGCATGGAGACTGGAGAGGCATTATATGATTGAATTCAATTGTATATTGTCAGTAGGGCATTTTAGGGGATTGGAGTTTGGTCTTGCAGGGGTTGTAAACAGTAAACAGATGTTGAGACTACAAGTGTAGTGGGTTAATGACACACAAATTAAACTAAGTAGGATAGTTAGTAGCTATTGATGTTGATGCTATTTGTCCAGAACAGCTCCAAAACCACCTGTTCTGTTACTTATATCTGCATTTCGGTCTCTCATAAAACTTACAAAAGTTGCCATATGGAACAACTTTCGTGAAACTTGATATCCTCATGTGGGACCTGACCTGGGATCTATAAGGCCCAAAAATGACTTTGTTCTTCTTCAAGTAGGTTTCTTCAATCTTCATAATAGAGTAGGAGAGGAGTTTTGGGAAACTAATCTGACTCGACTAGCTTCCAAATCTCCTGCCTTATATCAAGATTCAAGAAAGAAAACAAATCTGGGCAAATTCTTTTCTACATACCTGTGGTGTGGGGGATGCTACATATCCATCCATCCACCCTAGGCACAAGGTCATTTAGTTGGGGGTAATTATGGGTATTCAGCAAAGATAAAGAAGATGTTTTTGTTTGGGAACAATCTAAATCTTAGTTCCATCTTCACACTGCTTCTTCCCTTCAAATTTCAATCCATAGCCTTGTATAACACAGATTGATTGTTTCATACTCGACACATAATATAAACAGCATTTCTTTGGACGGTTCCGGCTCCGGGTTTTCTATTTCTCTAGCATTCTGGAACTCTTTCGTCTTCTTGACTTGAGAGTTTCTTTCTTCCAATTTCCAAATCCAACTTAACATCCCTGTCACTGCTCACAATTACAATTACTTTTCCACTCAATACCATCGCCATTACAAATCGGTAGTTGAGAGGAAAACCAAAGCATATATCCAAATTCCAATACAAACAAATATTCTTAAGTGGCATACCTCACGTCTTTTTCCTCTTGTTGGACAAATATTCAAAACACAGCTTGTCCCCAAAATTCATTTGCTACTGCAACATACTAACTTCTCCCCATTTCCCTGACTCTTCTGTCCCAAGTCTTTTGATGTTCCTGTCACTGTCACTTTCATTCTCTACCAAGTAACGCCTTCAATTTCTTCAAGATAGAAGAAGGAAAACAGGGTAGGTTATCTTTTTGGTGAATCATGTCATTGAACCTTTATTAGGCTTTTATTTTCGGTAATTCAATCAATACAGTAAGCTTTGTTCTTTTTGTTATTATTATTAATTAGTATCTATCTTTTATAACACGCTGTTGTTGGTTAGCAAGTTAGAGTTATAGTATTTAACAGGGCATTAGGGTTATGTGTTTTGGCAGGCAGAAAACAAGAATTGTTGGGTTCCGGTTCCTAATGCAAGCTATATATGTTTATGTACCCATGCAGTTAGGTGATTTTGGGCTTGCAAAGTGGAAAACGAATGATTCTCCTATCCAGACCAGAATACTGGGTACATTGGGGTGAGAAAGATTTATTTTATTTTTTTATGATATATGGTGAATGAAAAACTAATCTTTTAAGATGCAACATCCATCATATAATAGAATTCATTATGATGCAAGCTGAATGATTAATAGAATTCAGAATCTATGATCCAATTAGGAAATAAGAATTGTTTGTGTATGGATTGCAGTTATGTGGCGCCAGAGTATGCGGAGAATGGAATGGTTTCTGTGAGAACAGATGTTTATGCATATGGCATTACTCTTATACAAATAATATCAGGACGAAAAGCTGTTACTTCAGATACACAAGACCACCATCAGTCCCTCAGACAATGGGTATGTATGTATGTATGTCTTTTTCCTTCCGTTTCTGACTGTTGTTTTTCATTATTATTATTATTATTATTATTTACAATTTTTTTCTTTCTTTTTCTTAAATTAGGCGGAACCATTAGTAGAGAGCCTTGCTTTGCATCATCTGATTGATCCTCGACTTGGAGATTCATATGACCCGTATGAGCTGTACCACATGGCAAAAACAGCTTACCTGTGTGTCAAAGTCGACCCCGACAAACGTCCATCCATGGGAGAGGTATCTTATCTTACTACTACTACTACTACTAATCCATTTCAAAATATTTACCAAATTTCCATTTTAAAAATGAAACTATTACACTATTTGTATATATTTTTTTTTTTTTCAAAATTTCACATATTTAAACAACTTATAACTTTATTCACCGAAAATAACAAGAGACATTTTTCATTATCATCTTATTTGGTTTCATGTAAATAAAATATCCATTAATTATAATTATATAACTGTATATAACATTTAATATAATAAATTAGTTATAGGGAAATTAGTCAGAAATTAATGAGATTCATTTCATTACCGATTCTAGTCGGTTGTAAATTAACTTGTGTATGAACGTTTGTAAATGTAGGTTGTGCAGCTACTTGAAGGGGAGACAGACCATTTTAAAACATTGACCGATCAGTTTATCCCACATTTTAACAACTAGTTAATGTATATGATAATATATAATATTATATACATGGTAAGTAACTATCTGTTCACCCCATACCACCACTCCTTACTCCTTGCTCCTTACTCAAGGAGAAGGAGAAACCCATTCTTTGTGATCCATAACAACTATTCTGTGATCTACTAAAATCAAAATGTTCAATCTTTTGCTGTCAAAGAAAATCTCAGTTTAGCCTTCTTCATGTATGTATGTTGGCCTTCTTGCTTATACCTACCAATACAATACAATATATATATATATATATATATATATATATATATATATATATATATATATAACATGTGTTCCTAGCATCTATTGTGTGCATGTAAGTACAAATCTAGACCAACGGATGGAATAGAATCAATGATTATGATCTAAGAGTCTATGATATTACAATAGGGTAACATATACTATATAATCACACAAATTTCAGCATAAATGTATTTTAGTCAATTAACCTATATTAAAAAAAGGAAATTTTCGTATTTTAAGGGATAAGTAGTTCATTAATTTTTTTAAAATCTGATTTTTTTTAAATTAATTCAAATTTAATTGTAATATAACTTTTAGTAATAATCGATTTTATTCTGTCAGAATGACAAAAAGTCAATTATAAACTAGTAAAGATATTTTTGATTTTATTCTTGCAGAATATGGTTACATTCAAGATATTTTTTTAAAATTAACATGCTTAAAGACTTATATAACATGTTATCAATAATAACATTTTTTTTATAAGAATACGGATTTTATTCTTTAAGAATCACTAATTATATTAATTCATAAAGAATATGACTATAAACTATTATTACATTCATTCTGAAAAAAAAATCTAACCTATAATGGTTTAAGAATTACATTTAATCTTAAAGATTAAAACTAAATATGGTTGCAAGAAAAACATCAAAATTTAATATAAATACTAATCCATTCTGAAAGAATATTACTGTTAAGAAACACATTATATATTGTGACAGAATACATTATGGTAGAATACACTCTCGTTCTATATGTTTTCTTCTTTTTCCACTTCAAAACTTAAATCCACAAAGAAAACATCAACTTTCAAATATTAAAAAATTCAATGCATTCTAAGAGAATAAAACTATAAATTATGACAGAATGTGGTAGAAATTATAAAATCTGACAAATTATAATAGAGAATAAAAACTATAAATTCTGACAAAATATTGTAGACATTAAAAATTATAATTTATACCAATAGAATGTAATCCTAAAACTGCAATGAGAATAACCGACGTAAAATCGAATAAAATTATGTGAGAATGCTTTTATATGACAAATAATAAAACAAACTTTCGTAATTATGTGTAACATCCCAAAAATTAAAACTAAAAATTTCATTTTTTTTTATAATAAAACCATCAACCCAAACGTGTTTTATAAACCATAATAGAATCAAAGTGTAACAAAAACATCCAAATACATCATAGTCAAATAAAAAGCGGAACAATGTGGTGTGTGCGATGCGATCACCCCGAGCTCTTCCCCTTGGATCTGGAAGTACCTGAAACATAAACTGAAAACTGTAAGCACAAAGCTTAGTGAGATCCCCAAAACACCACATACCATACATATCAAACATATAATGGGCCCCGCCCGTCATCGGGCCCAGCTCGGAATAGATCTGTCAGTCATCAGGCCCCGCCTGGTATACATACAAACACATAAACACATGCAAGAATCACAAAGATAAATAGCATACAATATAATCATCAGGCCTCGCCCGGTATACATATCAAATATCATACATGTAAGAGTCACACAGACAACTAGCATCCTAATCATAATAAACTATGGGCCGCTATTGGTGCCTTCGACCCGTTAAACATAGTGAGGAAACTCACCTCAAGCTGCTGAATCTCTCAAATAAAATCTCGGACTGCTGATCCGGAAAAATCCCCGCGCTAACTCAATCAAATAAAATTCAATTAATAATTGGTCCACAATCCAAAACGGGAATCCTAGTCCGAAGTCCAACCATCAGGGTGAAAGTCCATTTTACCCTTTCCTCACTTCGCCCAAAATCCGAGGCCAAATCCAATAGTATTAAAAGCCCATATGGCCCAACTTACTAATTGGGCCCAAAACCCATCATGGGCCTAATTCCAAGAAGGCCCAAAGCCTTAATGCCCCAATATCAAAAGATTATTGGCCCAACCTAGGCCAAACCCTAAAAGTCCAAAATATGGCCCAATACACGAAAGTCAACAAAAGTCAAACTGCTGAGTACGCTTGGCGTACTCAGACTTACGCTCAGTGTACTACCTCCGGGGCTGGTACGCGCAACGTACAAGCTGGGTACGCCCCGCGTACTCCACAGACGACCAACCCAACCCATTAAGCAGTTCATCGGTTAAGCCATTAAGCCGAACTCTCAGATCTGATCCTAAATGGTGTCTTAACACGTAAAGTTGGCAACTTTACTCCCATGCATGACTTAATGAGACCCAAAACTCAAAGAGAACCATAATAAGGATCCTAACACATGCATGGACCAATATAACTCATAAAATTGCATTTTTATGGACAAGAGACCTCAAAGATGCTAAGATCTAACATCCATGGCTTCTGGAGTAGACCACACTCTCAAATATGGCTTAAAGGACCAAAAAAATGCACAAATAACACCCTAAATTGGATCTAGCATAAGGAACCATCAACTTGAGATCTTTATACCTCAAATAGCTATCAAAGATGATGATGATTCTGGATCTACAAGCTCAATCCACTCCAAAGCAACCTCCAAGTGTTATTCTTGTTGGGTTTTAGTTCAAAAATAGTTTCATAAACTAGAAAAATATGGCAACGGAAGACTTTAATTTTTTAAATAACATAAACATTTTATACCCACCAAGAATCTTCTTGCAAGTTATAGAAAGATTGAAACACCAACCATAGAACGGATGAAGAAATAACAACCTTTTTAGTTCTTTAGGTCCTCTTGAGAGGCTTGGAAGTTGATGAAGAATGTGGAACCTTTGAGACACCAACAATGACTCAACTTGATGTAAATGCTAGTCCAAAACTCTTAAACCCTTAAGCTTTAAGTTCATAACCAATACGAACTTAAAGAGGGCATGAAGATGCAAGCGTTCTTCAAGTTTTCTAACCAAAACTAGAGAGAAAAAAAGAGGAGAAGGAGGATTCAGATTTTGCATCAAGAAAGGAAATGAGCACACTAGCCAAATGCAAGCCCCTTATTTATATGCATAAAGTGAAAGTATTAACCATTAGATCTTAACACTTTAAGCACATATGTCCCCATGTCATAAACATGTCTCCCATGCTTCATTACTTTTGAATAAACTAATGGAAAACCCATACTTTTCTTCTTTTTATTCAAAATTCGAAAATTGTATAAAAAAGAGGAAAGTTAGTTTAAATTTTATAAACTCAAGGTTTATAAAATATAAACTTTGTCTTTTGAGTAAAATACAAAAGGTTTTCAACTAGTCCAAAAAAGTTGTACACAACTTATTAGTTCATACCATATGAATTATGTAATGTTACTTGCTAATGAAAATTATTATTTCCATGAAATAAATAATTTCCAATTTAATTATAAGAGTTTTATTGAATATTTATTAAAATCAATTTCTAATAAATAATCAATTGTATCAAGTTGTTGTTAGTGTGACCCATTAGTATCATATGTTATTTAGCAATATCACTTTAATACGACTCTTGAGCATACTAGACCTTTTAATCTCCCACTTGCGCAAGACTCATATTAGACTAATATAGACAGTGGTGAACGTCTAGCAACATTTCACTGCCCCCAAGACCATACAACTTTTTGTGCCATTCCATCAACACCCAATTCCCAAAAAGCTCAAAGCTACAATTGGTGTATAAGGTAAGTTTATCAGTTATCCCTTTTCTACAGACATCATGTTGAACATGAGATTCGGATCGTGATCAATCTCATTAGTCGTTCAACTTTTGGTAAGGTGCTTTAGATGTCTAACTCTCAACACATAAGAGGAACAAATCCCATCTTGATTACATAAGCCTCTTGCATAGTTCAGACCATACCTAAAAATGGCTTTTATAACTGCCCGGTCAAGGAACAACATTTGACCATATCGAAGCATAGTACTCCCTACACTCAAGTCCCACTATGTATCTCAAGTGTTAAGGATACAAAGATAATACCTTTTAATCATGTATCATTCATGACTGTGATCCATGAGATGATCTTGATGCGAGTCAGTTCAGTACTAGTTCTCTGACAAGTACCTATGAAACTTGGTTACAACCACTTGCCTACTTTCATCTAGTAAGAGTCAACCAATCCAACTCATATTAGTCTTACTTTATAATTTCTCCCACAATTATAACCGACTATGAACCTTTAGAATAATAACATTATTCATGGATTAAACATGTTAATATACAACACAACAAGTATTAATGTGATGACTATATCCCAATATATCATAACATTATCTAATAGGTGTTATTATCATGTTCCAATATCCAAATACTAAATCCAAATCAAAAACCCATTTCTAGAATAATAAAGTCTTATAGCTGAAGTATACTTAGTTCAAAAGAATGAATTTATCAATGGATCTGACAAAATTTAACTTGTGTGAATTCTGTGAATATATCATCTCCATACTTAACTTTACTCTAGGTATAGTTAAATATCTTGGAGAATATGATTGGTGTTCTTTCGTGACATAGAGTCTCTTAGCTTGATTAAGTATACTCTCGAAGTCACAAAGATTTCTATGTGATCTTTGAATGGCAGAAATCAACATAGTTTTTCAATGATCCCATTCATCCAATCATATCTGAATTCAACTTCTAAAGTAGTGTATTCTTATTTTGTAGTAGATTGTGTCATTATGTTTTGCTTGGACCTTATTCCAACCAAAACTTACCTTTCATTCCATAACGAAGTCAAAATCCAATTCATAATTCACAATTATTTATATATGTTTAGAAATTAACATCTTGTGTAGCTCTTTCCATAAAGATCCTTTCTAAACTGATTGTCTCTTGTATATTCTCTTAGTTCTTCTAAAGTACTCTTAGAATGCT